CCTAAAACCAGCGCCTTAGACCACTCGGCCACGCTGCCTGTGTTCAAGTGCGGTGAAATAACGACACCTTTGCGTAACTGTCACGCAGTCAGTCACATGACCGTGATGTCATGCCAAGTATGAACAGTGTGAATCATCATCTTTATTAATTAGCAGTAAGGTTGATTCTTGTTTGGCACTCTTTATTTAAGAAACAGTATGCATTGAAATGTATTGAGATTGGTTTGGAGCCAGGTTATTTTTCGTGCTCTATTATTTTGTGTGATAGGTATGTGTTTATATTACGGTACCTACATAATATATTGGTTATATCTAACCGGAATTTGTCATGTTTTTATGATCCATAATTGATCGTTTTCGTAAATTCATACGTGCTTTTTTAACACGTTATTTAAAAGACCTTCCCAAACTTCTTCAAGATCGTTGTTAATGGTAATGTTGCGGTAAATAATACGCGGTTTTGATGAACAGTAAGCATTTGCGATGTGTAACGCGGCCACACAAGTACAATCAACAGCACGCTCAGCTGTTAGGTATTGTCTTCTACTTATTTAGGTATAACATTATCACTCTTGTTTAAAACCGGTACTAACAATTCAAGTGATAAATAGCCAGCGTGGCTAACGCCGTCATATTGAATACGCTCTGACATATTAATGGTTTGTCATTTGGTAATATTTCTATGAATCAAAAACGTGTCATTTATTGTAATCAACTAAAGCGTTTAAGATAATTCAATTTACGTTACGAACGTTATGGTAACTAATTTTTGTGATGAAATTGTACATAGTGTAATGAACATAATGTCAATTGTGTAAGGTACAAACTAGTTATGATACTGACTTGTGTTTTGGCTTGCGTAAGAGAAGGGGCTTAAAACTGTGCCTCGTAGGATTCTTTATGGTATAATGATTGCAGTGGACAAATTCTATTCTTGATATTTCTAAATGAGACTTATGCAAGAAAATTGACTTTTCAGTTAATCTGATTGAAGCCTTTGGTCACTAGAGGACTGGTAGTATAAGTAATGGTTCCTTTTAAATCAGTATATGAGTTATTTAAATTTTCCATTTATTTTGTACCTTAGACCTAATTTATTTCTTCTTCTTCTGATTATGTCGATGGTATACACTTTACTATTGTGGCCCAGAACTCAGCCACGCCTACCGCGTCACCAATAGGCGAAAATAACTTATTTTAGTAGCAGTAGAGCTCCTTGAGAAAGGGTTCATCCAGAGAAGTACTGCCACCTTAACTATTTCTGCCAAGCACTAATATAAACATTACTGCGTTCTTGTTTAAAAGGGTGATGGTGTAATTACAGGCACAAGGGACTTGTCAATTTATGTCTCAGTGTAACGGGCACGGTGGCAGTGCCCATAAGATCTTTGCTATTTAAAGTTCTGAGTGGCACTGCAAACGTTATGGATAGGCGTGTCGCTTACCACAAGGCACGGCGTGTTCATCCCGTCACAGTGTTATAAAAAAGTATGTCAAGCGTGCAGCTGTTAGGGCACGCAGGGTACGATGTGAGATGGGCCATTGTTTGAATCGGAAATGATTTTTTTCTTCTATACGTCGCTTAGCGAACTGCTCAAGTCTTTATGAATAGTTTTAAAGAAAAATAAAAACTGCATATATTTTTTAACCGACTTCAATAAAGGAGGGGTTCTCAATTCGATTCTGTTTTTTTTGTATATATGTTACGCGATAACTCTTGTGAAGCGACTTTTATGATTCTTTTTATGTTGGAAAGAGGGTACCTCATTAGTGGTAAATTTTGGAGAAAATATTCCACCTCTAAGGGTGGTAAACTAGGGGATGAACGACTTTTGAGGTCGGTTTTTTAATACAAGATTTTTTAAAGCTTTGTTTATGATAGGTGTTTTCTTTATGAATAACAAATAATGGTATATGGTTTGGCCATATGGTACCCGTGTTTTATGTGAAATTTTCTCTCTCTTATTTAAGCACAAAAAGTGATAAGACAAATTATGATAGTAGATTCTTTACGCCTCTCTATTGAAAAGATGTAATTTTGCAGTTGTGACCTTATTACACCATGGCTGCGATTTATTGCCCTTGACAGTAATTAATGTCGTTGCCATGAACTGATAAACAATTGAAATACAAGCTCACTTTTTGATTACAACATTTTAATGTCTTTGTCACTACGTTTATGGTTTAATTGAACATAAAAAACTTCTGCCTTATTTGGGGCTAGATTGAGGAGAGATCTCGAGGTTTGAACGGCCTTCCAGAAAGGCCTAGGTATTTTCCCCAGGGCGTAGGTCCTAGTAAGTAGATTTTAAATGTTTTTAAAATTTTTAGGTTACATCATTATATGCGATATCATTTTTGTTGATAATCACGTTTCATTGAGCAACTTCCAAAAGTAGAAATCGTAATTTTTGATTTGAGCACTGTTGTTTTCTAAATGACCATATTAACCTCCTAAGGCTTCTTGTATATGTAATTGAGTATATATTTTTTTTTATAATATCTAGTGACGGTTTGTTTTATGTATGTTAACGGATTCAGACGATATTATGCAAATTATCACGCAAATGCCCAGTGTACTGTATGATGAAAATATTGCATTCAAATAGCGCCATATATCAAATGTGTATAGCTTGATGTGCTGTTGACTGTACATTGAACGTTCAATGCTCTTTTTTTAAATAGTCTCGCACTAGGGTAACCCTGTACCAGTAACACAAATAACACCCAAACCCACGAGAGAAATAAATTTAGGCCATACGAGTATTCCTGCCCGGGAATCGAACCCTGGACCTCTGTGTGGCAGTCCAGCATGGTGACCGTTCGGCCACAGAAGAGCCCTTCTCATTGTAGTTTGCTGGGCCTTGGGATGTTAAGCAAATGTAATACTTATACTATTTCCTTTATTTAAGGCAATAAAAATACGTAGGAACATTAAAAAAAAATAAGGTACATTAAACAATAAAAAAGGTAAAAGTGGTTAAAAAGCAAAAACAAGATCTGCAACAAGCATATAGAAAAATTCGTAAGATTCGTTAAATAAGAATCGCTTCGTTCCGTGGCTTAGTTGAGTTAGCGTCTGGCAAAGGTTGCTTGGAAACGTTGGTTCGAATCCAGACGGGTCGAAGGAATTTTTTCGTAGTGTTCGATCTTTGTATTAATAATATCGTGGTAGTAACTGTCATAGCGTATGCGACGCCAAGCTATTCATAAATAGAGTTATAAAATTATCGCTTAACATACATAAAAAACTCTTCCTTTTAGAAGACGGTTAAAAATAATTTCTATTCTATTCTAAAACATCATAACATTCATAACAACTAATATTATGTAAAAGTTATTATTATTTTTCAAAGGATTATAAGATGTGCAAAGTAATAAATAAAACACAGGGTTGTTCGTATGACCGGTATATTTACCTAAGTGTAAAGGAGCATATTTACAGGGTGGACTGTATTTACTGCCTACCATTGTTTGTTGTATTTCACAATAAAGTAGCGTCTTTAACATTTGAAATAAACTTTTATACATGACAATTCTAGTTGGGTAGCTTTAATTCACAAAATTGGATGCTTATAAGCAACGTGTCAACCAACAGTTTTGCGAAAAAGACACAACGATTTTTTCGTTGTTTTTTAGTTTGTTCTAAAATTTACTGATAACATGAAAACTTTAGCTTTCAGGAATTGTAAATTGTTGTGATTTATTACTATAATTCCCAACAACAGCAAGAACAACCGCAAAATTTTCATTTAATAAGTAAATTACTACTAAAAACAACGAAAAGTATAGGTGCCATTTGTTGACACATTATTGCTTATTAGCATCTAAATATATTTAACAAAATTCACTCCTAATAAATGGGGCACGGCTGTGCTCTACCAAGCACAGTCCTATTTATATGAATTTAAATCGTACGGTTCGCGAAGTGTCAAGGTTCTATTTTTTTAGGCAAATGTTCTACCCCACTAGCATTACCAAATCGTTTTACATCTTTATGAACTTGTTTCGGTTGTTTTGTAAAATTGTTCTAAATAATTCAATATAGAATAATTTTTCATTCTGATTCATTTCACATTTATAAAACAGGCGCTTCCTTTGTCATGGCTTTAAATTACAATTTAAAGACGATTATTATAATAAAAAATGATACATTTAGTTGAACATAACCTGAACATGTGAATATTACACGTTTATATTTATATATATAGGCCTATTTTAAGGAAATAATGCATATTTTTTAAAGAAATGGAATATTTTAGTTGAATTTTAAGTATTATGTGTTCAAATAAAGCGGTTTTATATCATAACGCTTGGTTGTTAAAGGGATTCAAAATACATTTATAAATACATATTTTGTATTATAAAATATAAATCGCTTTATTTTAAACCTATTAGGATTTTAAAGAATATTAAACACAAAGGAACTTATGATTATTCCTTTGAAATAGACATCGACAAGGTCAGATTGATTATAGCGATTTTACATTGACATAAAAGAAGAAAGAAGTACCACGTCTTATACATTTTTTAGAACAAACAGTACATCAAATCGAGGAGTACAATTACTGGTTCGAGTAAATTTTCCTCTGGTTGTTTTGTTTTCTTCACAATTCAACAAAAATATTAAATTTATTCTACAAAATTAATATTTTTATTATACCGTTTTTACGCCAAAGGTTTTAACGTCACCATTAACACCCATTATGTCGAGAAGTAATAAAGGTTACAAAAGATTCACGTTACAATGTATAAATTACTCAGTTTAACGCCTAACAATTTACAGTTACAATGTACAATTACTTACACTAGAGCCTTGGCTCGCTACTGTATTTTAAACGTTAGTACGAATCCCATGGGAATGTTTTGGATTTTAATTTTTAACATATAGAATTTTCTAGATGAGTTGGTTGGATGTTTCTTGGCGCGATTTTACACTTTCCATATTTTAGAAGAAATATCCTGTTTGGTAAGTATTTTCAAGGCAAAGTTGATAATTATCGTCAATCACTTAGCATGCCCTCTATATTCAAGAGCAATATGTAGAATACAAGTATGTATCCTTCTGTGTATAGCAGCTTAATTCCATAATTGCCTTCAAATGAACAATGCCAAGTTAATGTATAACTAGTAGCAAATAAACTTAATTCTTTAATGATTTCTTATCATTAGGAGGGTTTGGTTTTTTGATGCTATAATTTAATACTTAATTATTTTGCTATAAAAAATGGAAAGTATAGATAAAAAAAACATGGTAGTTGTGTTCTGCCATTTTCTTTATATTTTACGCTCAGTTTATTAACTATCCAAATTCGTCTAGAAATTTCTATATTTCGATATTCAACAACTACATTATTCTAATGAAATGTCCAATACGTGCCCTTTTTGACTTCCAAATTTCGATATATATCTATGTATTTTTATACATATAATTTGGTTACACGTAACACCTAAATAAATATGTATTTCAAAATTTTACGAGATATGCAAAACAATGTTACATTTATTTTAATCTGTCAATAAATTACAATAATTTAGACATTTTTAAATTAATTAAATTAATTGACTCAATGCGATTGTCAAAGACCAATGAGATAGATAAGTCAAATAAACGATGCACGTAAATTCAATAATGAAATTAAAGTATGCAGATGGCACAAATAGAAAAAAAGCAATTACGATGAAAAAAACAAAGTCGTTTTCGTTGCACAACCTATTTTGAGGGGTGTTATAATTGTGTAAGTTAACTGGTAATAAAAATAAACCATTGAAAAGGATATTGAAATTCATAATTACCAGTGGAATTATACAACTAAGTAGCCAAAATAACAATTGAAGTAACCTAAATGACGAGATGAACGTAAATAATAAAATAAATGTTAAAAACTAAGGAAAAAAAATTGATTTCTATTCATAGCCCAATAAGACAACAATTAATTGCCTGAAAATTAATCACTAAAAGTATATTCTACAAAATATAAATTTAATAAGAAGCCCCAATTTATTAAGATTAATATAAAATAAAAATAAAAGTATGATAGAACGAGCTATAATAATCACAAAGTAAATATCGAGTTCCAGAAGTAATGGTAAAGAAACGCAACATTGAATAAATATTATAGCTTGTAATGTGGATTATATAATTATAAGAATAAATATTACCTCGAACACAAATGTTAGTAAAAAGTTTCGATGCCGAATTTTGTGGAAGCAAAACTGTAAAATATCTAAATATACATCTATGTCATATAAATTCTACGAAATCTTAGGAAGATGGTCTAAATACACACATTATGTTACATTACATATTGCAGAAACAATAGATATGGACCATAGACTATTCGAGAGTTTTTTTTTAAATTCTAAGCGTAGGCATGCTTGGAGAGAGCAGCTATCGTAATAAGAAATATACAGTTGAAAAAGCGGATGGCACATTTATTTTATACAGAGCACATAGTATTATTACAACGGACCTTTTGGGTAATAAATTACAAACTATTCGTAAAATTAGTTGCACAATTTACCATAAAATGTAGTAAATGTGCATATCGGTATTCTACAGGATGTAGCTCGGAGAGTGTGCGAATTGCAGGTTTTATGTCCACTTTTCAGTTTTGATCATCGGGGGCTAAACGTAGGCTGGGTTCCTAACCCTATGTTGTGGATATTCCAAAGATTCGCAAGGAGATTGGCAGAGTTGTTTCCTGAAGTATATAATTTGAGCCTTTTCAAGGCGAGAGTGAATTAGGCATTATTTATGGCTGCACACTCCATCGTCGACCTCGACAGGTGAGATGGAGAGTAAAAAGTAATAATAGTTTGTGAATTATTACCAGTCCTCTTTATCAGCATCCACTACAATACATGATAGTTCAACAACACGCAACCACATTGGTCTCGAAGTGAAGAAATTCCAGGTCGTCTGATACACATTGAACATCATCAAACAAAAGCCCATAACAATTCATGTTACAATCATCGCTTCACACATATGCATTTTGGTCTTACAATATGATAATTTGATTGTTTCAAACATCTGTGTAATCACTTGATATCTTGGTATCAAAAGAATGTTTACGATAAATAACTTTTGGTACTTGGTTTGTACAATCTATAGTACAATCAGTACGCGTTATTAAAAAAAAAAACAATAAATTAAATCGCGTGTTTGTGTTTGAGACAACTGCAGAACAATGTTAGCCACGTTTGTAAAAAAAATATTTAAAAAATTAATTGCACGCTTGTTGCGTAGAACGGAATGCTTTTGTCAAAATTTAAAATAATGAAACGGGTGACCGTTGAATGTGCCGTGAGGCGGCCATTCTTTACCGGTCAGCCGATTAGTAAACACGTGGCATATTTTGTTCTGAGTCGTCTCACGCGTAAAACTCGCGGTTATTGTGGCCCTTTCCGTAGGAGGCCGCTGCGGGGCTTCTCTTCGGCTCATCGAGAGCATACGAGCCCTCGTCCTTCTTGCGCATGCGGTATACTATAAACATTACTACCAGGATCGCGCATAGTAGTCCGACTACTGCTCCGCCAATTACAGCTGAAAAGGAAAAAGGCATGATTGTTAGTGTCCTGGTCGAAATATTTTTATTGCTATTGCAGAGGTGGTTAATGAAGTCAACAACGGAAAAAATATTAACCCATTACTTTTTGTTAAGTCGGGGTTTAGATCTTTTTATGAATTAACTTTCTTATAGCTATAAGTATAGTTTAAGAATGTTAATATCATGAGAGGTTAACATTCTTACACTAGCGTCACAGTACGTTTATGAAAATGTAGTTTATGTTAAGAAGAATAGTAATTTTCTTATGATAAATAGTGACAAACATAACATTAATACGACGTATAATAATCTCAGTATAGGCTATCATGGGAACACTGCTGAGATCACACGCTCTTTCCAACAAAAAAAGAATCATCAAAATCGGTTCACTTGTTTATCGCGTAACATACACACAAAAAAAACATAACGTTCGAATTGAGAACCTCCTCCTTTTTTTGAGTCGATTAAAAATAAAGCAGTTGTTCTTGACAATCGTCTTCACAATGTCACAAATTCATTTAAGGGGCTTTGTATATATACGCTTCTATAATAAGATTCCGGTTGATATTCAAAAATTGCTATTTACGAGTTTAAAACTACAGTGAAACAAAAATGTATACTAAAGTTCATTACACAGCTTCTGCGTACTTAGACGGCAAAAATCCGTGATAGTGACTTGTTTAGCTCTTGCAGGTATTCTAGATCTAAGATTTTTTGAAATAAATATTGTAAGTGAAAATACATTAATTATTCAAATGTATATCTAGGAAGACAACACCTAGAGTTTCTTGCTTATACTTCTCACGGGAATCTGCCTTATGAATGAGCAGTAGAGTTTAATCAATATCGCTTCCTTACTTCTCACACTCGTATCTTAAAGCACAAAGGTACTGAAATGCAAAAAAATGGATTGTATATGTACATATCTTGCAGGGTGATTTCACATCACATTTCCTTCATATTCACACACTGGCTTTTATCTATTCTTAAAGTAATGCGTCCAAATTAACACCCTTTATAACAAATTTAAAATGAATATAAAGTTTTGCCATTTCCCGAATAATCACTCTTTATATCCGACAAAGTATTTACTGGGGACTCTTCAGTATAATTCCCTTGAGGTGAGGCGGAACAACAACCTGCTGGTATCTGTTTCTCAGGTATTACGCGGCGAGTCGGACTGTCCTGAGCTAGTGGGACAGCTTGTAAGGCTCTTTGTCCCAGACATTCCTAAAATAGTTTTAAGAGCGCGACGTCGTGAACTATTCACAGTCCCACCGGTGCGTACCGTATCGCGCAGGAACTCACCACTGCTCCGTGCCCTCGCAATGCTCAATCAACTCTTGGCATCAGCACCGGAGTGTGATCTGTTTGCAAGGCGATGGGCGGCTGTGTGTTGTGAATGCCTGAGATTTTGTGAAGCGATGGATGATAGTGAGTCAAGTATAGTGCTATAGTTTTATATATTATTTCAGTGTTTGGTTTTGTTTTTTTGATTTTTATTGTTATTTTTTAATTACTTTGGTTTCACGGCGCATTGGTTATGGAACTGTAATGCCGTGTAAACATATTTACAATAAATAAATAAATAAATAATAAGATACGAGTTTGAGCAAGTAAAGCGACGATATGACGATTTCAAGTGTAATTTGTTTATCTATGAAATAAAGATGGTTTGAGTCAACACCTTTAAATTAAGAAGGAATTAACGAATTAATTCTTACCGGCCAGTATTCCAGGTTGTGCGAAGAAGCTGGTAGCTCGGTCTTCCGGCTTGGCGTTCATGATGAACACGACGTTGTGGTCAGGGTTTGACTCCGCGCCCACGTGGTCAATCTCTTGATCCTGGAATGTGTTATGTTCAAATTTAGAATCGAAGATCATTAATTAAGTGGTGAATATTTCAGGACAGTTATTCCCATTCTCCGTCAGACATTTGTCAGAAACAATTACTGTCAAATAAGTAATAATCGATCAAATCAAAAAACAATGTCAAGTATGAAGCTACATTACCTCCATGCGTTTTTCAATTTGGTCGAGTATTACTACTTATTTGACAGTAATTCTTTAGGACGGAGGACGGGAGTAGACTCCTTGGTCAGTTTTGTTGCCTTTCTTTCCCCAATTTAGTTAATTCGACGTTATTCAAGGTCACATTTGCAACCCAGTATGAAGGTTTTTTAATACGTACGCCCAGGTGTAAATTGAGTGATTATAGAATCAGTCTTGTAAAACTGTAAAACCTATTATTACTATTATAGAGTAGAAATATAAAATTATACAATGAACTGCCTATATTTTAATTGCTTGACTTAGAATGTAAAAGAAAGATAACCTTTTTAAGAGGAAAGCCATTCTATAAAGTTGAATATTGATCAACTTTTTAATTTGTGCATTCTAAGAGAATATTTATGATTTCATGACATTTATCTATTAATAATATAATGAAAAAATATTATTATTATTATGTAATACAATTTGTTAATAATGAATGACGTAGCTTAAATGATATTTTTGTATTTCGACGTGCTAAATGTTACGGGCTTGTGGTATGGCAAATAAAGTTTTTGAATCTTTGATTCTATTGTTTCAAGCATTATTACTTCGTATATATTAGGATATTTCGAGAAAAGTCCTCTGAAAGCTTTGCACAGGGACTTATATATTTTATTTGCCATCATTATTGGGATTATCTTTAATTTTTCACACGCCTCCGTCGTTGGTTCTGGAACTGCGCGATTTTAATTTTGTCAGCGCGTAAAGTTTTGTCAAATACAAATATCCTTTATTGACACTTGACCACAATGACACTTTTTGACATAATTATATGTTAAGCCAAAACATAAACAACCAATAAACGGTACGCCAAACGTGTCGGAGGGAAAAAGGAGGTGTCTCAGCTTGTGCGGCCTGGAACAGTTGTTTCGCGGACAGCGCTGTTTTTCACCCACCTCCTTGTACCTAAGATCTTAGGCGGGCTTAAAAGCAACGAGGGCCTAAAAACGATTATAAAATGTTGGCATAATTGTCGTAATCTAATTTGTACAAATACGATACGTGATTCATTATATACTGAATACTTGGTATTTCCGGTAGGTTTGGGTAATTTTGTTATATTGTATTACTCAGGATGTAGAGAATATATCAATTAATGTTCCGAAGCAATACCCTATTCTGTCATGTCTCATTATTTAAAAAACTGCCATAACACGGTAAGGCTGATTGATTGAAGATTGGACAATATTCCTCGAAAAGTTTCTTATATTCATTTAAGTAAGTATTGAAGTCACAGCTGCTTCAAGAATGTAAAATTATAATGGGTTTTTCTCAAAATAGCTTTTTCTGTTTAACAATAGCTCTTTAGAGGATGAGTGATATGTATTGTATAGTATATTTTCGTTAATAAAAAAAGGGTCACAAGCGTATTCTATGTATTGTATGTATAGATATTTAATACGTAGCTACATGTATTAAGTTTGTTTAAAAGTCGATGCAACCTCAAATGGCTTTGGTTGATTCCACTTAACAGTGAAAGAGTAGAGTCAAATACTTTGTAAAAAATATATAGTAAAATTGAGGATTTACACTGATTAGTATATGGTGTGAAAACACGATTGCTAAAAATTTTCACGATAGATAAAAACGCAAACTTACCACGAAATTTTACAATAAAACCGCTGTACTCAAAAAGTACTTTACATATACCAATGATTTTTTTAATATATCAACTGAACTAAATAGAACACGTAGAGTATACGATATACATTTTTGAAATGGCTTTAACTTCGTTTGTAAAAAAGTAAATACTGAAATAAAAAAAACCAGTGTCCCTGCCGTTCGACCTACGCAACAGAACCGATTAATTACGGGAAAAATGTACCTAAATTCGAGCTTAGGTAATATCGAGTCTTAAATGTATATTCAGTTAAAAATACCTGCTGTGTGTATTTAACTGCCCATGACTTATTTGTAACTCCGTAATATTTTATGAGTTTGCCTAGTAGGGATCGCTGTCTAGTAGATAAAGCAGTCGATGGTACCTTTCGGTATGTCTTGTATGTATTAAGTCTTTAAATGTGAAAACTCATTAGATTGCACTTACGATTCCTGTGTTGACTTCCTCGCCTGCGATGCTGATGTCCTGACCAGAGTCTGGGCGAGAGGGGACCTCGGCCCTCTCGCCACCCTCCTCCGAATCGGTCGGTTCTTTACCAGTTATTATGCGTGCTGGAACATTATCGAAATTTGCAGTTAACATTATGTTTATACGTTCAGATATTGATAAAATAGGTGGCAAGGAACTCATGTTGTGCATTGATTATTTCTATTTGAATTTGAACGTTAGATCAAGAATATAATTAAGACTCCTTATACATTTTGGTGCGTTTTTGGTTCTGTTTCAACTTTTAAAGATTTTGTTATTTAGTGTATTTATTCTCTGTGCATGTTAACAAGTGTTAACGCAACTCTATTTTATTTTTCTGTGGTAGATATAGAAATAAGATAGGTTTTCGTTTGATTGTTTATATTAAGTCTCGTAAATAACTATTAGGTTACGATGAAGACAGGTTAATTTGAGGTTAGTTTGGACGAGGAAGGAGTTAACATGATTAATCAAAACATCCAATAAATTAAAGAAATACATCGAAAATATGAATGATATGACATCTGCTAAGCTAATGTTATGAAATGACATGACATTCAAACTAGTTAGGGCTATATCACCTAAGGGCGCCTTCAAACTAGACGCTGCAGTGACGCCACTAATTTTCATATAATGTTTGAAAAGTCCAGGACAAAAATGATCGAAGTCACTTGAGGAGAATTGTAGGAAAAATAATTTTGAATTTGGTGAACTTTTGAATATTGATGAAAAAGACACGCACACAAATACTACCTAAAATATAGTCAGTGCTAACATAAATGTATGTAACATTATGTAATCCATTTTAATTAAAAAAACACTTAAAAATTATTTTTAACTTTTCTACCATTAAGTCGCTAGCATTTTTATGAGTAAAAGTAAAAGCGAATATTTCAGGACCTTGAGCCTTATTTGTCTTTTTCTGATTTAGTCATAATACGCTCAGTTTACCGACCTGGATGGTGGCATTAACTCAAAATGTGTTTTATTAGACTTTGATCATTCTTTCCCTGCTCTCTTCATTTAGAAGTGCAGTTGCAGCGCCACTGTCGTGACATGCGCGCGCCACTTTGACAGTCACAATTAGTGACCTAAAAATTACTGACTTCTACAATCGTCTAATATGAGGGCACCCTATGTCATGCGATTTGTCAAAAGTAATGGATAAATTGTCTCTGGCATATATCGTGACTACGTGAATAGCGAGCTTAAGATTTCGGGTAGATGCCTCGGCAACATCGCGTATATAGCCAGAAATAGACATGAAATAAGGGCCTTCCATCCCTGGCAACTCATCAGGTAAATGGGCCTTATGTTACTTTTAAATATCAACTTTCGTTTGCGCTGAAATCACAAATTAGAAAACTGAAATAGTATAGCGCCAACAACTGACCTGTGTGTACGTCTCCGTATATTCCAAAAATATTCTGTATTTATTGTAATAAAGATAATATCTCTAACTATGGGGGCTGTTCCATTCGGTGGAGTGGGAAAAACAGCAAAACATCTAATTACAAAACAAACGGAATCACATTTCATCGGTAATTAAATATGTAATTTTGCAATTTTCCTTCCTTTAGCAAAGCTAAAGTTAAACTCATTGACTTACAAATAAATGGACGACGGGTCTAATACAAAAACCACTAAAAAAATGTCCCAAGTCAACCTATTAGAAATTTAAATTGTAATGTCATCGCAGTATCGCGCTGTCAGTAGAACAAATGAAGACTAAAGCGGAGTTTGGCGCTCTGTATACGATTTTAGCGCCTTACAAGTGCGGACACATTTTAGCGCGGACCCGACGTCCATATAATTGTAAGTCAATGGTTAAACTGGTCGTTTTGAAGTGAAACAATTGAGGACACCCGTCAATTGTTTCGAATTCGGGCTGGCCAATCAGACACAGTTGTCACTGTGATGATTCGGCAGATAGGTTTTCAAACAACTTAAATGCATTTTGTCTCTATTTCTGGTTATGTACTCGATGTTTGGCAAGAATATAACGCCGAGACAGGCGAAGCGAGACAGTTGTACGTAGACTCACTACAAGATGGAGATCGAGAATAATTTGATCTTTTTGACATTTACAAACAAGAAATGGAGATAATAGAAATATATACGAGACGACACGAATATAGACGAATATTTCCTCTACACTCTCGTATTCAGGAAGTCTCGCGCAGTTTTGCCGACAATGTGGAGCTCACTTAAGAGAACACAAAGTATATTCTCAACGTTATCCCATTCAAAATAATCCAGACATATGCCGCGAGCTACGAGAAACAACGTTTAAATTATACAATAACAAATGAATATGGATCATTAAAAATGAATGGTCATTTGCATGTATAATGGGGTCATGCGTATTATAAAAAAGAAATTTGAAGACGACCAAATGTTTATAGACTTACCAGAGTCCTTGGGTAATTTACTTTTAGTTAACAGTAAGGTTGATTAATTTATACTCATGTTAGTGTAATTGGAAATGTGCTTGAAGTTATTAGTAATAATTAACGCCTTGTCCGCTTACTAGCACTCGTCAGGGAATACTGACCACAGGCTGAGCAGTACAGATGATAATTAAAGTTGTTAATAATAAAATGTTAATTCAAGGTCATTTCATAGTTATGACACGCTATTCTATTGTTTAATTCTCTGTTCGGTAATTTAATAATGTTATTGGTTAGTATTTAGTACGAATCTGATATAATCAATTTTAAAATATAGTTTAGGTACGTTCAATATAATGGATACTATGACACAATCATTTCCCTTTCATAAATTGTTGTTTATATTCTTAAAAAATACGTGATAGGGTAAATATTGCATCTGATTCTAATTCATCAACGAGGTTTGTGTCAATGTGAAATTATATAAAAACAATGAAATTTATTATATCTAATTATTACGAGAATTCGATTATCGAAACCAATTTTTGTTATCAAATTAACATTAATAAAGAAAGTAGATTTTAATTTAATTGGATCTAAAACTCTCTCTTTTATAGTCCAGTCTACAGTTTTAGTTATTGGTGACAAGTTGATTGACGATAATCGACTTCTCGCGGAAACTAAACAAAGATACGCAAATAAAACTGGCATGCTCCAGCGACTACTCACGACTGACAGAGATGTACTCCGGGGATATAGAGGAGGGGGAGGAGGAGGAGGAATCGGGGTACTCGTGATAATCATCAGGATCCAAGGCCGGGGTTGGTAGTGTGGTGGTAGTGGTTTTGGTTCTCTGGATGTAGTCTTCGTCGTCCTCGGGCAGGTCGTCACCTGAGCCGCGTGCGTCTTCGTCGTCGACACCGGGCCCCCAGCCGGAGCCGGAGCTCCCGTCGATCTCTAAGCCAGAGCCGACGTCATCGTCGATAAATACGTCCCGGTCCGACGCGAGAGGCCCGTCGTTAAGCGCCGGTGTTATTGTCACGTGTATAGTCGAGGCGTCGCCGGTTACGGCGTCCTGGAATTGGAAAAAAACATACGCTTTATCAAAAACAGTCTTTAATATAAAAAACGTGTTCGTTCGGAGACGAGAAATGCATAGACTGAGAACTGTATGCTTGGAATGAGAAAATAGTAACTTGGACAGTTAACCGTGACCATTGGACCTCCAAAGGGCCCGAAACGTTGGTTTGTTTGCAAAAACAAATATACGCGATTAAAATCCGGAAAAATAGTTTCATTTCCTATAGTAACTTGGAGTCTGGAAAACACTGAGAACTGTATGCTTGGAATGGGAAAACATTAATTTGATGTCTAGAAAACACTGATAACTGTATGCTTGGAATGAGAAAACAGTAACTTAGAGTCTAGAAAACACTGAGTACTGTATGCTTGGAATGTGAAAACAGTAATTTGGAGTCTGGAAAGCAGTACAAAAACAGAGTTCAGAACGAAAAATCTATGACTCAGGAGGTCACTTTAACGTTAATGACGCACTTGAACGTATTTATCAAAGAAAATATTAAAATTACGTTAAAAACATGTTATCATGAATATAATATTAATAATGAATCAAAAAAAACAATAAATCAACAAAGAAATATGAATCACGATACGGGTCGAAAAGATTACGACCTTCTGTGACCGCGTACGTCACAGACATACACCACAATAAGCACGTAATAAGACATTCGACCTAATTCCAGAAAGTTCACCCACTGACATTAAAATTTCATCACTGACCTAATATTTTGGCACTTGAAGGCACAACAATCTGTATCCATCTTCATTTTGCCTCGTTCTTTAAACAAAAGCTTTACAATCACAGTCAAATCACACCGAAAGCATAAATCAGAGAAATACCTTTTTCATCTACGTCACCATGAATGGGTCAAAGCATGAATGGAGAAGGTTCGAAGTATTAGTGCGTGTAGTAAAGGGTCACTCACCTGGGTGCGGGGTGTAAGAATTTATAGCCGGATACGTTTAGGTGAATTAGGCCTGTTTAGATTTATGCAGTTTTAGTGGGTTTGGCAGTGCTTTCCCCGGTTAGCGTAAGTTGTACATTGCAGCAGGGCGATCGATAGGCCTTCTGCGGGGTGTGGGGTAGGGCTAGAGGGGCAGGGAGCCGGTTCTGGAACGCGCCGACAGATGGAGGACGTGAGGGAGGCTTTCAGGGCAAATGTTTGCGAAACGGGACGTTAGAGAGCGCGATTTTACTTCTCAGCTGTGTGGAGATGTTTCTCTAAAAATTTCGCAGATGTCGTACTAGTACGAATTCCACCGTTCGCGTAACTACGGTAGCGTTACATCGTTGGTGTGTTCATGAAAACAAACAATTTGGGATTTTGAATAATAATAGTGTCATGAAAAGTGTGAAAAATGAGCTTGAGCAACATTATGTCTAGTGCACACAATAGGTTGCCTTGACGTCGCGACATTTCTCTTGCAAGAAAAACAGTAATGTTTTGGTGATAACCACGGAACAGGATTAAAAATGGGAAAATATGCAGGCTTTAACACACCTCAAATACTTACAATTTCATGCCTTAACAAATCTCGATTATTCCTGAAACGTGTGTACGGAAGACATCAATAACGTTAAATTGGACATCGAAAATGTAAATAAAGACAAACTAGTCTAGTTATGAATATTTTATACCTCGTGGCCATAAAGTAATTTACAAGAATGACTTCAAGGTGTGTATAATTACTATTATAAGTTACCGAATGATATTAAATTAAGGACATACGTTAAATTACAATTGATGAAATGGCCTTTGATTTGCTTTTACTTTATAAAGTTCTTGTTTAAGGTGTTAGTAATATAGTCCTGCGACTGTGTGAATGTAGTCCTGCGACGTAGGCGCAGCCTAAGGTTGTTAATATTTTACAAATAAGATATATAAGATTTACATAAGCTTGGCCATATGTGAAGTTCGAAGTTAGTCGCAGTTAAGCTCCTCGTGAAAGAGTTCGTCCAGGGGTAACAATGCCACCTTACCTATTTAAAGCTCTGAGTGGCACTGCAACTGTTATAGGTAGGCGTGTAGCTTAACCATCAGCCGCAAAACTTGTTCGTCCGGTCACTTAATATTGTAAACAAAATCTTCCAAAGTGATAAAGGATACTTAGAATTTACAAATCCTAATTTACATTAACTTGAAATGCAACCTTTCAATTAATATTTGCACGTCTGCTTGCAGATTGAATACAATGAGCCTTATTTAACTTAAGACTTTTTAAGATAACAAGTGACGGGTGGTAATCGATACGCTTGTTCATATTGCAGTTGTAGTGCTACTCAGAGCTTTAAATCGCAAAGATCTGAAGGGCACCCGTTACACGAAGACATTAGTTGACAAGTCGCATTTGCCTGTAGCTTCACTAGCGCCTTTTTAAAATCGGAACGCAATAATGGTCACGCTACTGCTTGGCGGCAGAAATAGGTAAGGTGGCAAGTATTTCCCGAGACGAACTCTTTTACAAGGAGCTCTACTGTTACGAAACCTACATAATTACTGTAGTGTACTAGTCGAAGGTAATCGTACATAATGTCACCCTTTAGATGTAACAGAATAACACTGCCAACGGTTTTCTGTTTTACAGCTCCGGAAGAGACTCTTGGCGCGCAATATTAACCAAATTTGGAACGCATTCAAGTATTTGCGATTACCCGCTAGTATCACAAATCCCCGACGCTAGGGAGTGGTGCGGGAAGAGGTAATGAGAAATATTATTTATCGCACCAACGTAATGCCCCGTTGACCGGCAGGGTTGCCAGTTGAATAAAATTGGTCTTAAAAAGTTTTTTGAAAGTACGAAAATTTTAGAAAGCAAAGATTAGTAAGAAGCTCGTGGACATGTTTGTGATATTTTTTTTAAATTTAGTTTTTTTTAAATAATACCAAGTGACGGGACGAACAAGTACGTCGTACGTCTGGTGGCGACAAAACGATCCATAACAATTGCAGTATCACCCAGAGCTTTAAATCGCGAAGATCTTACAGTCACTGCCATTGCGCCCGTCACCTTGAGACATAGTTGACATGTGCCTGTAATTTCACCAGCACTCTTACCCTTTCGGTATGAAACGCAGTAATGGTCACATTACTGCTTGGCGGCAGAAGTAGTTAAGGTGGTAGTACTTCCCTGGACGAACCCTTTCACAAGGAGATCTACTTACTGCTACTAAAGCTAAGCTTCCATTGTAGTCATTTCATGTTTCAACTGCGTCCATAAAGAAGATACATTTCTACGTATGTTAGTAATAATGCTAACTGGTATTGCGATTTTACTTTTATTGATCGTTATATGCGTAAACGGTATAGAAACAGAATGTTCCAAATGTTCAACTAATAGACATTTTGTTGTCTAATTTTCCGGCTCTAGATTATATTACCACCCCTGTACTGTGTATAGGGGTTTATTACTTTGTGCACGCGCCTTAATGTGCTTTTTACGTGTTTTATTGGGGTCAGTCCTTAAATACTTCTGTAAACTGCCAGTGTTTTTCAAATGAGAATTTATTTCGCTGCAACAATAACATTTCAGTGTCACAGTAACATATCTCTTTGATTTTTCATTTTTCGAATGGTATTATGTTTCGTAGAAGGCTCATTTTGAGCTACGTTTGACGCGTATTCTTTAAAAAGAATAATGTGTTGAAATTAAAGTAGATTTTTAAAATATGTCCGAATTTAGTTCTATTTACGTAAAAAGTTAGCGAGGTGGTGGGTTATTGTAATGATTTTGTATTCGCTTTTGGGCACATGTCACTTTATTTTTTATTTTTATGGCTCCATCATACATGCAATGATGATTTTGCCAATGTCGCGGTCGAAAAAAAAAAACATGACTTCTGTTATGACACTAACCTGTTTTTAGGATAGGATATTAGGATGGCTTTCTAGAATAGTGGCTTATCTCAAATTTAATGGTCTGTGTTTTCATAAGACAAAGTAAAATGACGTTTGCAAAGGTGTCAGTTTTCGTAAAAAAATCAATAGTTATGCCGTTGTAGTCGACAGCTTTATCGATAGAGTGTGAAAGAAGATAAAAATTTGCAAACATGTATGAATCGTGAATGTTATGACGTTCTAGTGATGATTAATTGCGTTATCGATTTCTTGAGTCTTATTTTGACAGTTGGCTCACAAGTATTCAATTCGTGAAGTACAGACGCTCGTTATAATTTTAATGCACGTTATTACCCTACTGTAGAATCACAGATAAGTCATCCGCGTAAAAGATAGTAGCGGAAATATCCACAATCTTACAATGTTTGGATACTTGAAACAAGTATATTATTCGCTATCTTTATAATGTAGTATACATTGATTTTGATCTCTAAGGAAAAGTCGACTTTTCGGAGTTATATTTTGGAGCAAGTACAGCTGTCATGCACTTTTTAGCTAAAGGTGTGTACCTGGACGGAGTTTACACTTATAAGGACATTATACTAGAATAATAGGTTATATATCTGCAAATGAAACAAGTTCGACAATTTATTACAAAGCGAAACCAAAATTCAGTCGGTAAACGATAGAATATTTGTCGACTGCAATCACATGCTGGCTGTTTGTAAGTTGGCAACACTTTTGCACAATGGATTGTCATTTTACTCGTCTTGGACAAGAGAGAGTATACTTCAATAGCTTAAAAAAATAACCGAAGCGGATATGACGCGCCCAGCCAACAAATCGTATACCCCGGTTCTAACTATAACGCAGTATTGCAGAAAACTACCAATACAGCGACGAGCAGAGCAAGAGAAACTTTGCGGGAAGAAAGCACCCATCTTCTTAATTTAAAAATATACCTACCTTTATTCTGCAATATTACGTTACTGTCATGTGATTATTATCATTTATGGAGAACTCGATGTTTATAAAAAAAATATAACGTTGTTACTTATGTAGTTGCGTAATATGTAATTGACAATTTTGGTTTGGTCCGTATTCTTGAAATTGCGATGTGTTAAGGCATGTTCCATACTTATATTTACCTGTCTAATAA